TTTTATGTTGTTGGGTTTTGAGGCAAAGATATTGTTTAATTGATTTTTCCTTTTAATTGTGCCATATGTATTCTACATCATGTTAATTTTTAAATGGTTAATCATCTTATACATGGTAGGCATGACTTGGATTTTGTAAAAAGTGTTTAGGAATAAATACATAGAGGATAATATTAGTAGTGAATCAACAGTTAACTTGTTTTCTGAAATACTTGCATCAACAAAGGTTTTAGTAAAGTTACATGAATAGTAGTGAAATCTTTTATCATGAACTCAAATTTAATTTTTTAAAGTGTTGTTTGCTTTTATTATAAGGATTGGAGAAAATTTAATTAGAGTTAGAAGATTATGGTGATTCTCATTTTGAAGATGAAGATGAAACTGAAGTTAAGGAAACTTGTTCTGATGAAGCAAATGACACTAATATAAATGATGAAAATGGTAGAAGAAAATGACAATGTTGTGGTAATTAACACTGATAGGTTGGAAGACATTCTTAACATGGATCTTAAAAACTTTAGCCCTTACCAAACAAGAAATGTCCATTTCATAAGTTTGGAGGTCATATACTTGTTTTAGACTAGGTGTGCAAGACTAAACGGTTTTGCTACTAGAAAATATGCAATCCTTAGAAATAGTAAGCATGAAATTTTATAGCAAACATTTGTTTGTTACAACAAAGAATCTCGCGTGAAAACTTTAACCAATGATAATAATGAGCGTCAAGGTAAACCTTTGACGAGGTATGGTTTCAAAGCAAAATTTAAAGTACATATAGACATAAATTCTAGTTGGTAGTATGCATTCCCCCCTTTTTTTATGACCACAACGCGAACTACTAGATAAACACTTTTGTGGAATGTTTCCAACATGTATGAAATTGAGTAAGTCAAGTATAATGCAGGTAAATAGCTTCAAAAAGGCTTGTATAGGATCTCACCTTATATGTGGTTCCTTTGCTACCAAATCAAGAAGATATGAAAAAAATAGACTTTCATAAAAAAGATATATATAATCAGATTGGAAGACAAAGAAAAATATGTGAATCAAATTCTATGAGTGCTTTACAATACCTTAAGGAGTTGAGATTGATTAATCCACTAATGTTTTGTCGTCACACAATAGATAATAAAGGTATATTGAAACATTTAGTGATGGCTTTAGTCGAATGGATCATAAAATTTTTAGTGATGTTGTGGCATTTGATGCAACGTTAGAGATGAACAAGTATCGTTGTCCAATTGTTATATTTTCAGGTGTAAATCATCATAATTGAACTACAGTGTTTGTTGTTGTAGTTATAGGAGATGAAAATGAAGAAGCTTATGTGTGGTTGTTAGAACAATGAATAGAAGCAAGGGAAGATAAGGCCCCTATGTCAATTATTATTGGTAGTGATGTGACAATGAGAAATGTCATAAAAAAGATGTGGTCTAATGTGTATCATAGATTATGTGCATGGTATTTGTTTCATAATGCAATTACAAATGTCGATATTCATGCATTAATTGTCAAGTTTTAGAAATGCATGTTATTTTATTATGATGTGAGTAAGTTTTGACGTAAGTGGAGTGAAATTGTGGATAGGTTTGATTTGTAAGAGAATGGCTAGGTTACCGAGATATATCAAAAGAGGAAGATATGGATCACATGTCATACACATGGTAATATTTTTGTTGGCATTAAGACTTCTTCCTAGTGTGAGGGTTCCCAATTTGAAAGATTTGTTAACTCAAGGTATAATTTAATATAATTTGTACAATAATTTTACATGTGCTTGAATCATATTCAATATAAAGAACTTGAGGTTGACTTTTCCTCTATGCATGATAACCTAGTATTGCAAAAAATTATCAAAGTATTGAAAGGACAACTGCTAAGGTATTTACAAGGGAAATTTTATTGTTGTTTTGTGCTATACTTGTTAGGTTATCTATGATGATTATGGTTGGATGTAAAGAATCATTTATACGAAAAATTTATGTTGTGTCAAAGTGTATGACTCTAAACATGAGTGACACATATCTTTTCATCCAATAAAATATAAGTTTAAATGTGGGTGTTAAAGGATGGAATCATTTAGTGTTTTATGTGATCATATTTTAGTAGTCTTTATTTTTATGAACATTGTAGAATTACTAAAAATTGTAGAAATACAAGAATTCAAAAATTGCTACAAGTGCAAATTTTTTTTTAAATATAAAAAATCACTTGCATTTCTTGGATTGCTATTCTAATTACCATTCAACAACAAATTAATTTAACTATTTTTATTTTAATATTAAATTAATTCATTTTCTATATCTGACACCTTCGACACTTAGATCCATATAACTAGAGTACAATAGTTTTTATAAATTCAAGCCATTAATAAATTACAAGGAGAAATAAAGTTAAGAGAGAAAGAAAGAAAGAAAGCCTCTTACATTCTAACATTTACTTCTAAATACTACACCAAAAAAAGGCTTGTGACCATGAAATCTAAAGGCTCTTAGAAATGATTTTAACAAAATTTTCAAGAAACATGTTTAACATTGCATGAATATTCTCAACAAATTCAAATATGACTCAATGTTATCTCATAAAATTTGCATACGCAAGCATGACACACCTTCCTTATGATAAAAGTTATAGAGACATGCATAGAGACTTTGGCAGAATTCTTTTTTTTTCTTCATATGGTAAAGATTTTTGTAACTAATATAATTACCAATGCTAACTTTTGATACGTATTAATCTTGAAACATACTTCGTGAATCAATCGTTACATTACAAATCATTTTGATTTTGATTTATGATTAGATTTTAACTAAGGGTGTATCAATTCACTGTTCAGCCTTACACGTACATTATTCATTATTGAAATTTGTTTTGCAACTCTAAACAAGGAAAACAATGACAATGACCTTCTTTTAAAAGAACATATATAGGTAAATACACCTTAAATTCTATTTTTATAATTCAATTCTTTAAAACTCATTGAAATAATTAACCCCTTCATTGTCCTTTCAAAGGTGAATCTAGTTTATTTTGGTTTATACGCTACTTCAAGAAAATTGAATGAAAAAATTAATTTTATTATTACATATATTTAGTAATCAAATTCAAATATAACATAGCTCAACACAATGAGAATTGAAAGACATATTTGCTTAGAGTTTCAATTAAGCCATCATAGTTTGGTTTAAGCAAAAACACAATTTAATGCAAAGACTTTCTTAACCCATTATTTGCTTAAGCCAAGTTATTATGTCTTAAGTAAAATGTAAAATTGGCTTAAACAAATTACTTCTCGCTTAAGCAAAATTCATATAGTGGGTTTTTTTTTTCTAAAACTTTCGCTTAAACGAGATTCATATGACTTAAGCAAAAGTTCCAAAAATTATGCGCAGTAGATGCGGCTAGTATGCAGTGAGGGTAAGGAAAATATCTAAAATGTCATTGAACAATTTATCAATACAAAAGTTTATTTTTATGATAAATTGAGAATGTGAGAGTAGATGTGAAAGTTTTAATTTTGAAAATAATAAATAGGAGTATGGAGAATCTTAAAGAACTAAAATGACATTTAATATTTAGTTAATTTAAAAGTTTTTTTATTATAAATTGAAACTAGTCAATGCATATGCAAGTTTGAATTATTAAAATTACAACCTAAATATATGGGATAGATACAAGATTTGCTTGGAAAAAATCAAATATAACTAACCATACAATCGTATAAAAATGTAAAATAATAAGTTTTCAAAGTCTAAAAAACAATTTTACAAATTGAAACTACATCAATACATATGCAAGTTTTAATTATTAAAATCACGATTTAGATATGTGATACATACAAGATTTTCTTTGAAAAAGATAAATATGATTAGTAATACAATCGTATAAAAATATAAAATAATAAGTTTTAAAGGTACAAAAAATAATTTTATAAATTTTTACGAAAGATTAAATCATAAATATATAAAAATTAATATTATTAAGTTGTAGGTCACATATCTTAACCATTTATTTTATTTAAAATACATCTAACATACTAAAGAGACTCACTCATGGACCAGTTATTTGCTAATTCATATCTTGACCTATTATTAAGAAATTTTATTTAATAATAAAGTGTTATAAATAATGAAGAGTATGTTATAAAATGTGCTACCCATTATTTCTCACAAAGAATAAGTAGGGAAAAAGCTTTGTTGGGATTGATAAAGAAAAAAAAAAAAGATTGTTACAAGAGGAAAACCAAGAGTTAGTTATGACAAAGTAAATAACAGATCCCATTCATCTTTTTGAGTACTTACCCGTCTTAGGTCTGTTCGAAGAAAACATCATTAATCGTTACGAAAGCCCTGGTTTTTCATATATTCTTAGGAAACCCTGAATCTTTTGTTCCTAATAAAAAAAGATTTGGATCTTTCACCGTAGGGAAAATTTTCCAAAAAGTGCTTCTGGTGTACTAAAACTCTCATGCATAGATCTTTTAAATGAAAGACAATTTCTGATAATTTTATTTTTCTCTTTTCCATTTTATTTTCGTAGTTTTTAATCCTTTTCAGGTTCTTAATTCGAAGAACGAAGCACCACCTGTTAGAGAAGGTAGCAACTCTAGTTATAGGAATACACATATCTGTAATTGTTGTTTATGCATCTAGGTGTAGTGAAATGTGTGCGAAGGAAATGAAGAAAAGTTTCTCCTTTGTTCGTCTTTTCTTTTTGTGGTCAAAATCCAAAATTTTCTTCCCTACTCCGGGAATTGGGATGAGCATTGTGGCCGTGAAAATGTAGCATGGTTCTACTATGGATGTTACATATTATGAAAAGTTGTGTACAAATTAATTAACTTCTTAAGGGTATATATAGGTCAACCCATTTTATCTCTTATTTCATAAATTTCTGATTTTTTTGAAAGTTTGTCGTAAATTTAATCATAAAATTTATTAAATTAAGATGAAAAGAACTTAATTTAAAAAGTTACGCAAAACCCATTTATTATATTTAGGTTGCATGACTGGGTTGGCATTGATTTATTTGATTTCACCTGAAACAGGATGGATCATCAAGGGAATGGACAGAACCCATCTATGGGAGTAGTTGGTAGCGCACAACAATTGACTTATGGTTCTAATCCATACCAGGGCAGCCATATAACAGGATCACCTGGTATGGTTGTTGCATCACCTGGAACCATTCAATCCACTGGTCAACCAGGTGGAACTCAGCTAGGACAACATCAACTTGCTTATCAGCATATGCATCAGCAACAACAGCAGCAACTTCAGCAAAGGCTCCAATCCTTTTGGGCAAATCAGTATCAAGAAGTTGAGAAGGTAACTGATTTCAAGAACCACAGCCTTCCCTTGGCAAGAATCAAGAAGATTATGAAGGCTGATGAGGATGTAAGAATGATATCAGCTGAGGCACCAGTTATATTTGCAAGGGCATGTGAAATGTTCATATTAGAGTTAACCTTGCGTTCTTGGAATCACACTGAAGAGAACAAGAGGAGAACACTTCAGAAGAATGATATTGCAGCAGCCATCACAAGAACTGATATATTTGATTTCTTGGTTGACATTGTGCCTAGGGAGGACTTGAAAGATGAAGGGCTTGCATCAATGCCAAGAGGAACTGTGCCTGTTACAGGGCCTGCTGAGGCACTTCCTTATTGCTATATGCCACCTCAACATACACAAATTGGAACAACTGGTGTGCCTGTGATGGTGGACCCATATGCTCAACAGTCTCATCTCTACAACATGGCTCCACAGATGTGGCCACAACCACCAGAGCAACAACAATCATCTCCAGATCATTAGCTTCTTAATATTAAGGCGAACATCACCTCTATTTTTCTCTTTTTAATTAGTTTTATAAGGTTTGAGAGAAAACTTCATGTTGGACTGATAATTTCATTATATTCTGCAGTTTTTGAATTTCAATTTCCTTCTATCTCTTTATGGTGTTTAATATTTTCTGCTATAGAGACTCTTAATGTGTTGCAAGTATACAAAATTAATAACCAATTATGGTTAATGATTTATCAGTAGTTAGCTCTAGATGCATGATTTATAGTTTCTGCTGGTGCCGGTCTCATACTGTATTATGATTTTTCTACATACCTGATTCTGTATTATTTAAAGATATGATAATTTTGTACGTTGGATTGAAGCATCAGACATTAGCTTTGCTTGTGTGAGGTTGAAGATGCACTGAAAATGAGAAAATTAACTTCATTGTTGTGATTGTATTGGCATAAAATTTAAAATAAAAGTGAAAAAATTACATAACGCGGATGATATGAATACGTACTTGACAAGTACAACACCACGCATTGACGTCTCCAATTATATTGAAAAAAAAATGGTATTAGGTCCGAAGAATAACTGCAACATCTATAACTATTTTTCTTTATCTTACATCTTCAATCACAAATCAATCTCTTTTCAAAATACAAAATAGATTTAAAAATGTTTTTCATATTAAATAAAGAATCAAATAAAAAATGAATGTTATGTATACGAATCAGAATAAAAATTTATTCCAACCCTAAACCCTAAACATCTATAACTGTTAATACGTTTGCAAATGTATAAACACTAAATTGAAAGAAATTTTACATACTGAAACCAATTTTAAAACTTTTTGTATAAGATTCAAATAAAAATCAACAATTCATATATGGACTAAAGGTTTGATTAAACTTACAAATGATAAAGATACTAAAATAATGTTCATGGTATGTATACTGTTTCAATAAATAAATATCCTCTCTTTTCTTATTATAAAAAGGGACCAAATAAAAAGATTACGAAAGTACGGTTGGAATAAATTTCTTAATAAATATTTATAAAAAATAAATATTAAGTTGTAAAATCAATCAAATTTCTTTTATAAATTAAAATTAAGTTATTTTTTATGTTTTTAAAAGTTTTCTCATTTATTTTTTTTAATTTTTAAAAGAAATCATTTTTAACTCTATTAAGTTTCTTTTATTATAAAATCATAACTAAAAGTTACAAAATAGAGTAAACTATATTCAAAGATTAAAGATTTAAGATTCTTAAGAGACCTTAACGGTCAAGATAGGATTAAGGTGGACAAAATAAGAGTAAGATATGACAAGAACCTGATAAATTTTTATCATATTCTATGTTTAATACAGACTTAATAAAAAGTAAAATATGACATATATAGGAAGAAAATGATAAAATTATTCTTTTGTCAACATTTATTAAATTAAATATTTTTACCCCGTAGAAAATATAAAAATAATTTAATATATTTTAAAAATATATAAAAATAGAGAGAAAAGAGAAAAAAAAGAGAGAATAAATTATAGATATTTTGAAGAGGCCAATTAGTATCTTTTTCTTTCTCTTCTGAGCCACATTCTTTAGAAAAAAGTTACGATGTAATAGGATAAATTCATCGTATCCTTAATTAAGATCAAATAATGGGATGGGCCATCTTAAAAAGGTGAATCAATCCTGGAATTCTCTCGAGGAAAACCTTAACTTATACCATTATGCCTAACTTATACCAATTATTCAATCCACATTAGGAGTCATGCCTATGCCGACCCATTGAATGATTGCTGATGACCCAGATCTACCAAGCATTAAAAGTGAAAATGTAAATTATATTGGCAAACTTCAACTTAAACAACGGTGAAGTAGAAAAGCTCTTTTACACTAATATTTGTCCGCTTCAACTAAGAGTAACTAATAAATAATGTCGATCTCCGATGATAGGATTGTGATTGTATGTGGGGCTTACAAGCCACCACCAAAATGGAGTAGATATTTTCATAGTTGGATGGAAATTATCAATATAAGGGCAGAAAATTGGTGTGTTGACGTAGCAGGATTAGTCAGCGCAACGTTAATATCAGCCTGCGCCTGCGGACTTCTCAAAAGAATTTAGTATACATTCATCCACGAAACACCCTTGCATATGTCTATCAAATTGATTAATTAATCATGCCATGGTCACATCAAATGAAGAGAATGTCAGAGAGAAATTTTAGCATGTGTATCACAAAATATCAAAATAACTAAAATAAAGATCGGCATTATGCAGGATGTTGTCACTCAAAATTACATCAATTTGACATTTTGCATATAACCTTGGTTGGTGCCTGGTGGAATAAAAGGAAGGATTCGAATTGGACAGAACTTTGCCATCATGTACATTTCCCTTTCATAACAATTCCTTCAAGAATCCCATCAGTGCCAAAATTACCTGAAAACTTATGTGGATCAACAGGACCAGGCAGCTGGAATGTGATGGTGAAATGGCCTGGCGGGCAGAGGTTGTGAGTTTGCATTTCAAACACCTGTGAGTACCTGGATACCGTCTCCTCTCCCGTCTTAGTTACTCCGCTTATCAATACTTTGCCATCAATGTCAACCTCACAGCTGAATTCCGCTGAAATCATAAATTCAAGGAGTATGAGCTATCTATAGGGAGATCTCAGAGTCACTATGCTGCAAAAGTGATTGAAAGTGGTGTTATTTCCAGCCCCCTAATGCAACAGTAGGATTAGCAATGAGTAACACATTTTTCATGTCCAAGTTGGCAATTTGGCATAAGCATTGGTCAGCACAGTTCGAGTATCCATTGCCCATTGCCAAAAGCATTCCATTACAAACAATAGATACAAGTTCCCAAAAGAATAGCTCTGCTAATAACACTTAGTAGAAAAGCAAGCATACCCCTCTGTATATATAGAATCCTTTTCAGCTGGCATGGAACTTCAAATTATTTCATTTCGTTAGTCACAATCTTTTAGCAGAAAAATTCACATTCCACTACATAAACACCGAAGAGACATCCCTAAAATGCAGGTACCAATAGCATATAAACTTAGAGATAAATGAATGGCAATTATGTTAGAGCATGAATCCTTGACATCTAACAAGAAACTTACTTTCATCCCTTTTCACCCCCGGAAGAGACACACGAAACAAGAACGAGTCTTCACACTCTCCAATATCCATGAGCCCTATGATTGGCCCAACCTGCCCCATGGCAGCACTTCCCGTCAATGCAAATCCACTCTTTGTAGCACCCACAATTTCAGACCATTCCTTCTTAGAAGGTCGAGAAGGAAAGAACAACATGGCCGGACCAACTTTATCAGAATCACTCTCATTCTCAGAAGCCATGTAGCGACACATCACATTTCCACCATTACTCACAGGTGCAACAACATCCACACATTGCAGAGAATCATCATCATCACTGCTTCTTGGCTTTTGAGAACTAGTATAAGACAAGCTTTTGTTTCCATTAGGCTCGGCCTTCCCCCCAGACAACATGTTAGTGGTGTCACATACAACATCATCGCCACCAAAACAAGGCAATTGCAACCTGGGAGCATCTCTGTGCACATGCAAATCCTGAACCCCACTTAGCCTCTTGAACCTTTCAACTTCATCTGGCTTAATGTAGGAGGTATCAGGGTTGTTAATAAACACAAGTTTGTGAATGATTTTGAAGGGGTTTGGGTTTCTTATCTGAGATTGGGGATGGAACTGGGGAGGGAACAAATCAGGAAATTGGGGGTAATCAGCATGCACACATTGTGCTTGGCCTTGAAAGAAACAGTGCAATGAGGGTAACTCAACGGTGAGTGATTTATCAGCATTTTGCAGTATCGAATAGTAGACACGTTCCAATTCCACTACTTTGAGGAAGGAACTGGTTAATTGATTCAATGTGTATGGAGGAAGCCCCTCTGCTACTCTCTGTAATATTGACTTTTGTGAGGTTTCGCCTTTGATGTCGGGTCCAAAGTAGTTTCCCATGATGAAATACATTAAAAAACATTGATCATCGTTGAGGATCACAGTTTTTAGGTCAGCTTCAGAAACCATCATTACTCTGAAAGAAAATAACGTATTACTACTGTATTATTGTTGGTTTGATAATTATGAACATGCAATTGTTTTGTTCTAAACTAAATGGTGAAATTACAACGCAACTAAAAGAATTGGAGTAATAGAACAGTGCAAAGGGACTCACGCTCACAAGTGGGAAGAACACGCAACCCAAGACACACCGCACCGATTGCTAATGCTGCTGCTTCTGCTGCTGCTCACGCTGCTTAAAGCTGATACTCATACACACCATTCAATGCTATATGCTATTATGTTAATATAATAATAATAATAAAAAATAACGTTTCTCAACTTGGGCTTCGGCTTCGGGGGAAGTGCCCAACAACCACTGTGTAGCAAGAAGTCAGATAGCTGTACACTTATTATGCACAAATTTTGAAATTACTTTTATACTTTCACAGTAATCCATATAACTAGAATGTGACAGAAAAAAAAATGTAAAATAAATTTTTTGATTATTTTTAAAATAAATTATATATAAAAAATAACTATAACAGTTAAATTTAATTTATATGTAATTTTAAATATTTTAAATTTTAATAATAATAATTTAATTATAAATTAGGAAATATATCTATGTGTTATAGAAATTTGTCTATATTTTTATTAAATTATTTTATTTTAAAATAAACAAAAAATTATAATTTAAATATAAAAATATTTAATAATAAAATTTTATTATATTAAATAATATCAAATATAATTATATTAAAAAATATGATAAATATATTTTTATATATAATTTCTTTTGTATATTTTATATATTTTTTTTATCTTCTTCAATAATAAAAATTATTAATTTTTTGGTTGATGTAAACATAAGAAATAATTTTTTTAAAAATAAATTAAAAAGAATGTGAAAATGAAAATAAAAATACATAAAAAAAAGTATATACCAATAAGTAGAAATATAAAAAAAATATTTTTCAATAAGTAATGAGGGTAAGATCCATTTGAATGAAGTTTAAGTTTATTTGATAAAATATGTATAAAATTATTAATTTATGATTTTAAAATAACATTTAAATTTGACTTATAATAAGTAAATATATAATAAGGACTAATTATTCTAATTTAAAATATTTTTTAACTTTTAAATTAGTATTAATTTAAGAATATGATATCATAAATAATTATATTAATAAAAAATATAAATTTATCTTATTTCATGTTTTACATATAATTTAGTTTATAATTGGAGAATGAATTGTATTACATGATTGAATACTCCCAAAAAAATTCTAAAAGCATTCAAAATTTAATTTTAATTTAAAAAAATATAGTTTGAAATATTAATAAATAATCACATAATTAAAATATAAAATATTAATAAATAAATATAGTTTGAAATATTAATATGAAAAATTTTGAAAAAAATATTTTTATAATATTTTTAAAAATTAATTTATTTGTAAATCTATCTTTTTATTTACAAAGTTATCTTTTCATTAAAAATTTAGTTTAACAATATATAATAGAAATTAATAATTTTGTAAATATAATTTTTTAATTAAAACTATTTTAGATTAAAAATATTTTAGACTTTTAAGTACATATCAAATTATAAATTATACTAAACTAATTAAAAAATAATTTAAATATATAAATGTGTCTTTTCATTAGAAATTTAACTTAACAATATGTAATATAAACTAATAATTCTATATTTTAGTGTTTGAGGTACTTATTAAAATATAGATTATATTAAACTAATTAATAAAATAATTTAAATTAATACCACTCAAATTTAAATATAACTTAAAATAAAGATATAATTTTATTTTTTGTTAAAATATAAATCAAAACATTTATAGATATTTTTTCCTATTTAATTATTTTCTTTTTATCAAACATCATTCAAAATAATTTTGTTATTGCTATTTTTAACTTAATATAACCATAAATCCTAAATTTTTTTTAAATAGAAAGATAATAAGTATGAATTAAATATAATTTTAATTTTTAAATTGTGAAAAATATTGTAGTTAATTTAAGGCACTTATATAGTATAAATAATATATAATTTCAATCCGTAAGTTATACGTTTGAATTTTAATTCATAGAGTAATAAGTAAGTTATACATTTTGAATTTTAAGTAGGTGGAGCTACATATATATAAATAACTTTATAGATTTCAAAATTTAATATATAGAGTAATAAGTATGTGCAGGTAATTTTATACATACACACATATATGTAGATATAGATGTATATGGTAGTAAGTAGGTGCAGTTATTTTTACATAGTCAAATTTACTATTTACTATAGAAATGACTTTACACATTTCAAAATTTAACACAGAGTAATAAGTAGGTAGAGTCACATATATAGAAATAATTTTATACATTTCAAAATTTAATAGATAGACTAATAAGGAAGTGCAGTCAATTTTACACACACAAACACACACATATATATATATATATTACTTTCAGTAAAACTAAATTTGCTTAGGGTCTTAAAAAATATTTCATTGGGATATTTTTAGGTACAATTCTTCACTTAAATTTATGTCGTCAAACATTTTGCCTATGAACACAAAGCTTACAAAATTGTTAATTTTTTCTTTTCTAATTAAAGCATAAAATAAAGGAAAAAATATTATTTTATTATTTTTAATTTCATTTTTCTTCTTTTACTTCTAACATAAAAGAAAAAATGATTACTAGTGATTCGATAATAAACCTTAATTACATGACGTCAGCTTGCAACAACACTTGCAGCCCTAGTGGATATTGATCAACAAACGTAAAACCATTTTCTGAAGTCGATCTTATCTTAGCAAAAGCATTAGCACAATAATTTCCCTCTCGGAGAATATGCTGCACTGAGCACATCCAATTCTTTCTCAAAAGGCTCCTAATATGGGATATCTCATTTACATACACATGGGAATGTTAGACATCCTCTCGAACCATATTCACAACCGTAAGCGAATTTGAAAAATACATCACCTATCTATACCCAATCCTCCAACATTTCTCCAAGCCCGTTCCGAGTGGAGTATGAAGGGTTACATCTTGTGTGCAAGAAGTGTGGGCTCTATGGTCATACAGCAGGAAGATGCATCTCGACGGAGGTTCCAAACAGAACAATAGATAAGGCAAGCCAAGCAGCGACTGTGGGTGGCGACTCAGCAAACCCTAGTGGGTTGGATCAGCTAAATAATCAGCAAGCAGAAATTAAGGAGGATCTCTATGGTGATTATGGTTACCAAATTTAAAAAATCAAATAAGGCTCGTTTTTTAGTTTCGGTTGAAAATCCTGTGTTACAGAATATTCGTCAGGTGGAGGGAAACAAATTTCAAGTTTTAAAATCCTTTGGTTAGCCAATTCAGCCATGTCATAAGGGTGATTTTCCAGTTACTCATCAGGTGGACCCTATTTCACGTGTGAATCAGGGCTTTAAAGGTGGTAAGCGTTCGAAACGTGCAAGGCCAGAGGTATGGGAGATCGATCTAGGTGATCCGGTGCAACAGAAAACTGATTTGGTACATGACATGGCATTGCATGGAGGTGACCACGTGGCTGATACTACATTGCATCTGCACGTAATAATGCATGGCTGTGTACAAAGTACTACAAATGTGTCGAGCTCTTCGAAAGAGGAAGTGACAAAGGGCATGCACTTTGCTTCATTTGCACTTGTGCATTAAATCAACACGCAGCAATGCATGGAGGTGTGCACAAGCATTTAATGGTGAATAGCTCTCCGAAAGAGCTAGCATTGCAGTCTCAGTTTTAGGCGGGTCATGGGATTTCTACACCCATGCCTGTCCAAATATTGGGTCCTAATAGAATGCATTTTTTAGGTAAGGAGGATGAGCCACTAGACGAGAAGGATAGTAAGTTTGTAGATCCTAGGTTGAGAGGTGTGCGTGATGGTGAGGCCACTCATGGAGGTGAGGCTGCTGAGATGGATGTGGTGGCAGAAACACAACCACCTATGGAACTATGTTGATAGACTGGATTGTGACACTGTCCTTTCACCTGTTAAAATAATGATTGGATTTAAAGAATTTTCCTTACTTGCATGGAATGTTTGTGGGTTTGCTAATAAGCGCAGCTTTTCCCATATACGTGACCTACTATAAAGGTATAAACTTGATTTGGTCTGTGTCCTTGAGACGCATGTTTCGTTTCAAGCTTTTTTGGTATTCTGGGAAAAGGAAGGATATTAGGTGGTCATGTTGGAGGAAGCCACAGGTCAAGTAGGGGCAGTTTGGTGTCTCGCACGTATGGCGTCAAGTTATGGTTTCACTAGGTTTGTGAGTATGCTGCAAAGTGTCTTGTTTTGGGTTTCTTGAGGTAATGAAACTTGGATGTGTTCTGCAGCATATGCTAGTCCAATGTGTTCCAGCAAGGAGCGCCTTTGGCTGCATTTGGAGAAGCTCCGAGATTTAGTTCAGGTTCTGTGGCTGGTCATAGGGGATTTTAACGATATGGAGGTAATTTTTCTCATAATCGTGCTACATGGTTTGCTGATTGCTTGGAAAAGTATAGGTTATTAGACATGGAATATTTTGGTACTAATTTTACTTAGCAAAGGAAGTGTATTGGTGATCGTCTCATTTCTTGGTGGCTAGATAGAGTAGTTTTTGACTAAGAGTGGAGGATGGCTTTCTCAGAGGCGTTGATAGAGCATTTGGGAATATGTCACTCTAACCATAATCCAATCCTTATGCGGTGTTGGAGTTCAAGTGAGACCCAATCGAATCGTCAATTTCGTTTTCAAGTTGCATAGTGTTCCCATTCTGCCTATGCTCCACTAGTTCACCAAGCTTGGCAGAAAAATGTAGGTTTGTTGGGCCTTAAACTACAGAATGTGGCAGATGCTTCCGTCAACAAAATGGAATTTAGGAACATATTTAGCAAGAAAAAAGAGTTGGAGGCTCAGTTAAAAGGTGTGCAACATGCCCTCGAATCTTAGGACTCTATTAGGTTTCTTACGTGACAAAAAGAGCTGCTCTAAGAGTATGAAGAGTTGTTGTTTCGCGAAGAG